AGAGAGAGAGAGAGAGAGAGAGAGAGAGAGAGAGAGAGAGAGAGAGAGAGATAGATATGCGGACTGTTATGTTTACATTGTAATGTGTCCCACTAATTTTGGCACATGTGAGACTTTTGCTCTATTTCCATTTCATTGTTTACAGATAGCCAGCCATCATGGGAATGTTCCACCTCCTACTCACTCTGATGATTACGGCTACTCTGATCCAGATAGCCGACGCTCAAGGCAGTTTTTGCGAATTTTTTAACAGGATCCTCACGAATATTGGTAAACTATTATATCTTAAATACACTCTCGTAGTGCTTTGATATTTGCAAAGCACTTTGATAGGTTCGTAGTTAATACAACGTATGTTCTTGCGCGAAATCCTAATAGCTTTACAATGCATTCAGTCAATGGAGCCATACCTTATAATAGTCAATATTTAATTCTTTGCTACATCGTGGATGGACTTTACATTCTTCAATACTGCTAAGAGTCAAGTCGTATACATTGAACAAAAGACATATATCTAGGAATAATATACTCTCTAAACCTATCCTTTGAATGTGTAACAGTTTGCGTGAGTATGGCGCAGGTGAGAAGAGACTCTTAACCGTCATTGCCATTTGAAAAATCCTAAAGGACAAGTCCTGAGCTCTCAGTTAACCACATTGCGTATTATACGAATATGTAAGAATACTTTACAGTAGCTAAACGATTTAAAAAAACGGCACACCTAGAAGAAAGTCTGTCTTATATTGGTCTAGCTATGTGTGTCTAAAAATCTCTACTAATAATTTGCCTCAGAAAAGATTTCGAATTGGAAGGAGGAAAACTACGCTTTCTTAAGTTTTGAATGGGACCTTATGAAAGAAAATAGAGAAGGTTTTTGATTTGTTACAAGCTGAATTCCCTATACTTGATCAAAATTTTGCCAAGAATTGTTTAATACCATTCATACTTAATGCGAAGCTTTAACATCATCTCTCCAATACTCACTTAGATCTAGTTAAATTGCCTAATGATTAAAAACCATGCTACAAGTTCCACCTCTCAAAAACATCCCTTTAATTCTTTTAAAGCCTCTTTTTGCTGTTTATGTTAATTTCTTTCTTGTTGTCTCTCCAGGCAACACTAATAAATTTTGTCATCGTTCTCTTTCCCGACTTTTCCCCGACTAAATACGTCACGTCCCCCCAAAACCCCACGACTTTGTCACTCCCATTAGAATTGAAATCGCTGCCTGTTCCTCAGTGAAAATGCAATTCTACTGAACGTTTTGTTTATTTATTTATTTATTTATTTATTTATTTATTTATTTATTTATTTATTTATCTATTCAAATATTTATTTAATCACACAGGTCAACACACATTTTGCGGCATGAGGTTTAAGACTTTGTCTTCCCTAGTTTGGGGTCACTGATTTCAGAAATGGCTTTAGATTTTGAGTAGCACGTCAAGCTTTCGCTCTGTGAAAAGTGTGTATTTTTATGTAAATATGAGAAAATTAAGGAGATTTCATACGGTGTGTCATATAATTTTATTTAAAATTTCGCTTAAATGAACAAGAGTAGCTTGTTGAACTGCATGACTTTTAATCCAAAATAAGTAGGTGATCAATAAAAGTTGAATTACGCCAATACTTCTGTGCTATAAAAGTAATAAAACATAACTATATTCCTGCACGTGCCCTACAAAAATGTAGCTCCACCACTTTCCATTTTGACATTCCGTCTTTACAAGAGAATGCCAAACAATCTTCCAAAAGTATTGCTTTGCCTATAAAGCCTCCTTTTTCTCGTAAAAACAGTTTTTAGAGATTTAGCAAAAATAGTGTTCCTAAGGACGAATATCACATTTTTCACACAAATCGATTTCAAATCCCAGTTGTTTTAGTCATCCAGAATTGAATGATTAGACTTCAGCAGATCATAACTTATGATTTCAAGACCGAAAGTAAAAAAATCTGTTTAAAAAATGATGTAGAGATAGTTTTATCGAAGTAGAAAAAGGAAACTGTTACAGTACTTTGTAACAAAGACTTTGTCTTCTGTCACGATGTACCAGGTTTTTTGTATGCATCGGTTGTATCTCACTATAATCCGGACAAGTGGAGACTTTTCTTAGACTTACAAAGTCCAAAAACAAGTCTGAAGTGTGTGCTATACCGTAACGGAAATTCATTCGGGTCGTTCCTTTTAGTTACTCGGTTCTGTTATTTTAAAAAAAATCAATACAGGTACATGAAAACAGTTCTCGATTGACTTGAATACAGGGATCATAGCTAAAAGATTTGTGTTGGTCTGAAAATGGTCAACTTCTTACTTAACCAACAGGGGGACTATAGTCTACAAAGTGTCCTTGATCTCTTTTTTCTGTAGGATGGTTAAGGAAATAAACTGGGAAGAAATGATTTGATCAGTGAGGACAGCTCTAACAGTTGGCGGGAAGAATATCATCAATGAACTACTTATGTCGAGGGAAACAATTATATTTCCTTCCCTTCATATCAAATTGGACTTGATGAAGCAATTCGTGAAAGCACTAGACTTTAAGGGAAAAGGGGGGGGAGGGTGTTTCAAGTATGTTGCAAAGTACAGATTTTCCTCATCTCAGTTACGGGAAAATTAGGGCTGGTGTTTTCAGTGCCCACTAGATCAGAAAGCTGATCATTTGCTTGATGAGTGACATAATATAGAGACATGAGCTTGCTTGGGAGTCGTTTGTGTCTTTGGTGAAACTCTTTCGGAGACAGAAGAGTAGAAAAATCCCAATCTATTGGGCTGCAATACAAGCAGCAAAGTTCATTTTTTAATTAGTCATTTAGATCAGTGGTTTTCCAACTTTTTTCGCCCACCGCCCCCTTTTTCACCCAGCCGAGTCCCAGCGCCCCCTACTCCGCCCCAACCATCAATCTGAGAACAATATACTGTCATTTTATGCATATATAGTTGTCATCGGTATTAAACGACCAGTGTTATTAACATCAATAAAAATGAAATATGTATTAACGTGCTGCAATGAAGTGGCCTGAGATTTGTATCAAATATCTCAATTGTAGAAAATAAAAATGTTATTAAGTTGTTCAAATGTGAGAAACCACACGAAAGAAAAAGTAGGCATAGATCTTAGTCTGTAATTATCATCGTCATCGTCATCGTCATCATCACCATCATCATCATCATCATCATCATCACCATCATCATCATCATCATCATCATCATCATCATCATCATCATCATCATCAACATCAGTTTCATCAGCAGTGGCAGCACATGCACATAAAAAACTCTGATAAACAAGTGAATGTTTTGCTTTTTTTTTTAAAGGAAGAAAAGAAAAAAAGAAGAAAAGACACATTAAGATATCAAGTAAGGGTAAACTGCGGAGTAAGCATGCACAAATAAGTTATTGACACTACCCCAATGGAAAGGATGGACCTGCTAAGACGGAAACAACTTATCAACATCAGGTTTCAGATTGGTCAGTAGCAGACGCAAATCGCTACGCTTCGTCAGCAACCTTGTCATTGCACTGAATCCCCGGCCCTTTCTACTAGATAGGAGGCGGGAAAAGAGATGAACAACAACTTGATCTTTTCCCACTTTGAGGGATATTTGTCTTGCACAACAGTTTTCAACCAGAATGACTGTCACGGCTTTTTGAACAATGGTTTGATTTCAAAGTCACATTTCATCGTCAGAAGCTCTTCTTCAATTGCTACTGGCAGGTTATCATCTGTTTCAGTGTTCAATGGTTCCAGTATCCAGTATGGATTTTCCAGTTTAAACATATCAGGAGGCTAAACCTTGTCTTCATATCAGCATGCAAATCTCTGAGGTGGTTGCTATATATATTTGTAGCTCCTCGTCCGAAACGCACCATTCTTTCAGTGTCTTCGTCAAGCTAGGAAACTGAGAGATTTTCCTCTGCCAATGTTTCGGCGGATCATTTCTAATTTCGACAAGAATGATGAAAGCCTTGATCAGGTTGGTGTCATTCCCCTGCAGCTGGAAGTTGAACTGGTTGAACTTTGAGAAAAGATCTTTGAGGAGCGCAATGTTGTTCTTGTGTTTTTTTTAGTTTATTGCAGAGATCACTGTCTGTTTCTTGAAAAAAAATCTCCAGCACAGAGTCAAACAGGCAGAACAATAATCATGTTCAACAGTTTCCTTTCGAGAGCCACCAAACTTCAGTGTGTAAAAGTAAGCATTGAAAGTACTCGTCATTTTCAGTGGGCAGCTGTTGAAATAGTCTCGAGTTCAAAGCATGGACTTTGATCTTGTTCACACACTTGATGGCAATGGCCAATGTTTCATGCAGACTTTCATTCAGGTTTTTTGCCACCAAATTCTGTCTGTGAATGACACAGTAAACAGTAAATACTCAATGGACTGATTTCTTCAACAAGTTCATAATTCACTTTCCCAACCTGCCATAGACGGTGCCCCATCTGTTGCACAGGCAACTGTATTGGTCAGAGGGATCTGTTTGTCCTCGAAAAATTCTTGGACCACTTTGAAAATGGACTCGCCTTTGGTATCTGTTTCAAACATTTTCGCAAATAACAATTCTTGCATTATTTCCTCACTCTCTATGAACTGATATCCAGTTAAAGGCTGAGCTCACGTCCTTTCAGCATTTTGCACAGTGATTCCTCATTATTTGCTGAATCTCACCAATACGTCTTTGAACGGTATCGTCACTTAGTGGGAGAACTTTCAACACAGGCTCCGGGGCACGTTGCAGGACTGTGCTGACCACCTCTCTTATCGCATGCAATATGAGATCCTCACCAATAGCATGGTGTTTGCCTGCCTTTGTAATTAGCTGAGATAAATTATATGTTGCTCGTAAGCCTTCATCAGCTTGATCGACGTTGGCTGCAAACGTCGGTTTAACTGATTTTCATCTCTGAAAATTGATCTTTAGAGTTTTGAAGTATGCCAGATCTTTGTCAGATTTGTCGTAATGAATCTTCTTTATATGGGATTTGCGGGGCTGGGAAAGAAAGTTCTTAGTTATAAGTAGTATTGTAAACTATGCCTAAGCTATCTATTTTTGTTTTTGTTTTTGTCTTTTATGTGGCTTTTTCCCTTCATCATGTTTTATGTTGCACGTCATGAAAATTTCACATCGCCCCCAATCGCCCAGTTTCGCCACAGCGCCCCCCAAAATCTCGCCACCGCCCCCCTGGGAGCGGTAGCGCCCACTTTGAAAACCACTGTGTTAGAGCAAAACTGATGCCATTTTTTGGTTTCAGCCACCTCGAGTTACAATATATCGTCTTCTTCTTCTTCTTCTTCTTCTGGCTGGCCTCCGTGAGGAGGGCGGCAGTCTGCCGCAGGCAGACAGGTAAGCGGCAACCTCTTGTGCCCTCGTCCAGAGTACATCCGGCCCGGTCTCGCGTTGTTCTCCATAAGTGGGCCTCGATGTGCTTCCTCCCGCGGGCACTCATACAGTGCGTGCTGCAGGTCGTCAGGATGCCCCCGTTCCTTTCTGAATCCAGGGGTTGATTGGCGTTCGGCCCGGAGCTGTACTTGTTCCGGGGTCTGCAGCACCGCGTAGAGGTCCCAATAATGACTGCAGAAATATATCGTCTCAATCTCCATGCTGCAGAAAAATGTTAAATTTGGTTGGCCAGTGTTATCTATTTATTTATGTTAGAAAGGCCATTTTGCGCTATTGAATGTGAAGTAGAGTTCAAAATGTTATGCCCACTTTTCTAGAAATTGAGCTTTTACTTATTTTTAATTCAATACACTCATTTGTTTTCTATCAGTCTCCAGCAGATTTTTAGACTTTTTCTGTTGTCTATGTAAATTAAGAAAATCGAAAGATTTTCAACGTTGTATAATAACTTGCTAGACATTATGACAAAAGGAGCGACATCATTGTCTATGCTTCTTGCTTTTATTTTGCACCTTCATCGCTATAAAAGAACAGCCTCTACCCCCCCCTCTCTCTCTTTCTCGTACTATACAGGATGCACTGGCTCACCCAACGATAGGCCGATCTGCATTGTGTTGTTATTCTTCTATCAAATCCTCTGCAGTACCTCTTGAGCATATGAGAGGTGAGTTGTCTCATTTCTTTTTTTTTTCTTTTTTTTTGGGGGGGGGGGGGTATGATTTACGGCGCTCGCAACTGCAAAAGGTCTTATGAGTGCATGAGACATATGAAACATTTTCAGTTGGTAGGACATTTTGAATTTTGCCCGGGTGGTGGCCGAAGCCTACTCTTATCGATTTTGGACCACAAAGGGACCTTTAACGTGCGGAACGTGCACACGAGACCTCCGAGATTTTTTGCCGTTGTCCGAGAAGGCTAGGTGTAGATCTTTCCTACCAGAAGATCTGGGGTGTGGCTGGAAGACAGCAGTGAGAAGAAGCTAACGAGTTGCTGTGGAAAGACAGCAGAAAGAGCCAGGAGCCCAGAGGAGGGGGCACAGGAGATGAGGGGGTGGGGGCAGAAAGTTGGGACGAAGGCAGACGACAGAACATTGTTAGAGAGCAGGGCAGGATGGGAAAGAGGAAAATTTTAGAGAAGAAAATGTTCTGTCGCTCTCCGGATTCGAAACCGGGACCTATTGAATGAGAGGCGAACACCTTAATCTATAGACCATGAGAGCCCCCTGTCTCTATCTGAAGAAGCCAACGAATAATGTTAGAAAAAAATAAAAAGCCCGTATCTATTTCTTGTTTTATTTTATATGGCCCAGCTTTCATTCCAGTTCGTCCACAGCCAGCTCGAACTTTTCTCTGCCAATTCTGAAATGGAATGCTCGAGGCTTCAGTTTCCATTCAAAAATACTCTTCGATTGAATTTCTAAACCGTGAGTCTTAAGTATGAATTCATTTGGGACATTTGAAGAACCTGACATCCAAAACGTTGCGTAATATTTCGTAAGATTCTTTCTCCCTTATACAAAACTGTAGGTAAGCAGCTGGTTGTCGTACCATATAATCATAATCTGAGTTGTGTTTAACATGAAGATGTAGAAGACATTTGACAATACCGGATTCGAAAAGACTACAGGCTTTTTTAAAAATTTGTTGTGTTTGGTTTCGTTTTGCTGTTGTTGTCTGTTGCTGCTTTTTGGAGTATGTCGGGGGGGTTCGTCTGGAAAAGTAAGGTATTCAAATCAAAAAGTAATATTATTATGATCTGTGAGGAAACAATTCTAATATTGTAAGTCCCAGTGTTCATGGCCGTTGGAGAAATAAGTCGAATAAAATTTTTAAAATATCATTGTAATGATAACAATAATTGTGTGGCATCGTTGTGAAAACAGGCTCTCGTCAAAATAATGAAATCGAAGAAATCGAGATTTTTCCGTCATTCCTGCAATGTTTATCGGATGTTTATTTTTGGCTTTAAGCCTCTTATGTTCAATCGAAAACACATTTTCTGTATGGCTTTTACTGAAAAATGTTAATCGAAAGCACACAAAAATGTAAATTTACAGTCTCATGGACACTCACGTTTTGGAAGTCACAAAACTTTGGCGGCTATTTTCCCACTAATTTTTACTTCTGACACCACGCACTTCCCCACCCCCACCCCTCAAGTTCTTTCATTGCAAAATATTTCGACTTAATTCAAGAAAGATGGGTATTTTCTCTCCCCAAAAGCAGGGCAAAGGAACAGACTTAAAGAATAAGCAAAAAAATTCGTAAGCACAAAAACTGACGAGCGCCAGATTCCACCGTGATTTGACATGTGTGTCCTATACAAATTTGAAATAGAAATAATTGACACATGAAAATGAACTTACATTTGTTTCCACAGAATAAAAGCATCGTGTACACGAGTGTGTCACATTGGCATCGGGTGTGGTACTAAGGAGTGTCAACAATTTGACACCCAGAGAAGTAACTTGATTTCAAGGAACAGTTTATCTTTTTCCCCCACGTTGACATACCCATCAAAGACAATCGAAAATGGGGGTTTTTTTCACAAGCGACAGAAAAGGAATCAATAAATAATACTCCTGCGATTTCATACTGTTTTTTTCTGGCATGGCAATGTGTTGACTTTACTTGTTTTAAAAAACTGTATCTGTTTGTCTGGAATTGCATTTGCCTGGGCAATTAATTACACATGTATTCTCTCTCTCTCTTAAAACGCTGACGCCCATAGTAAGGATCGGAACTCTACTAGGTCTGGAGCACTCGACTAGAACGTATTTTAAAGTACATGCATTTACCTTTCGTATCTTTTCATACCGAAGGCATCATAAGGGAACCAAAGATCATTCCACTGACATGTGTGGTGTAATGCGTAGGCGTTTCATCTGCCACACAAAAGACATAATTTCGATTCCCAAAGTGAAGAAATGAGGGTTTTCTTTAAGTATCTCTGTCTTTGAGCTAGAATATAGTTTCCTACTCAGATGGGTCGGCCCTCACAGGCTATTTAACGAAAGAAATAGAACCTACCACACAAGCTAGATTGTTGGGAATTGTTATTTCAAATGGAAGGCAAAATTGATAACTCGTAGGCACAAAAATCAGAAACGAATGAAATCACACTAAAGCTGCTTCCATGGATCCCCAAATGTCACTTCAGAGAGTCATTAATTTGTTAAAGGCATTGTCTCGCATTATTTTGAGTTGTAAATTATATAATGAAAAACTGTTGATTTCGAAGCTATACTATCAAAGTTTTTACTAACGGATTCGGGCTTCATCGTCAAATCATTGAAACCAACATATTGCTAGATTGGTCCTCTAATCTATATAATGGAATGCAACCATTATTCAATACGAGCTAAAGCATTATGGATTGTCCCCCCTGTCCACATTGAGGTTGAATAAAATGTGAGGACTCTGGAAAGGGTAGAAGTATCTAATGTCGGTTTACTACTTCGAAAGAGGTTAGCACGTCGTCGTGTGTTTGAAAAACTGTCTGCCGTAAGTATTTTCCCCAATAAGTGGGGAATAGCACTGCAATACTGTCTGATTGATGTGAGGATAAAGGTCGTGCACAAGCCCAATATAACCACCATCAGGGTCATTCCTTGGGCGCCTGAGTCTTCTTTTTAAAGTAAAAAAACAACGGAACCATGACTTATTTAGGCCCTCGTTATTTTTCAACTAAAAATCTGGAAGGAAATTACAAAGCAGAATGAAACTATATGATGTCCCAAAGTGTCTTTATTGAAATAACTGCGTTATCTGCTAACCCCCAAAAATTGATTTCGGCTGTTGTTGAATGACCCTGATAAAGAGTCATTAGGAACTTAAGAAGGACAAGAAATTATTAGAGATTGAGAAACAAGATGTTAGTCTTTTCTTGGCAAATTGTGCCCGGATGGAAGAAAGTGTGAAAGGTATTTTCGTTTTTGCTTTTGTTTCTTTTCTTTTGATATAGTTTTGAAGCAAGGTTTTTCTAACTTTATTTGAAAGCCTTTCTTTAGAAAGAGCAGGGCAAGATGAAGATGAAGTTCACTGTTTTCTGGAAGAAAAAATAATTCTGTGGTTAGGCGGTATAGCGATTAAGCGCTTCACCGTTGCACATATGCAGGAGACGCGAGTTCGATTCCTAAATGACGAAACTTTCTATCTTGTGCCTGGCTGTTGTATTCCTCTCAGCCCGGGTTCATTCTAGAAGGCTGAGTCGAAGCTCGCCTCTAAATTATATCCAGAGGGGACATTACAGCACTTACATTAATTTTTTTTTTTTAATCATTCCTGGAAAGTAGCTATGTGCCAGTTAGAGCCACGGTGAGGCCATTCAACAATGGAAAGGTAGTTTTGGAAATGGGGGGGGGGGGGATCTTAAACATGGGTAGCAATGAGGAAGGGAATAATCATGCAAGAGAACATCATGGCACTTTAAAACAGCCTGTGTGCCGTAAGATCAACAGAAGGACTATCGGACTGGTTCCCCATCAGGTCTGGGGTGAGACGGTGTGTCGTCTCTCTGCTTCTCTTTATCACTTACACGAATAGGATCATGAAAGCAGCAAATGACAACATCACTGAAGTGAACGAGTTTCTATTTGCTGATGACCAGAGTATATTAGATACAGATGATGAGGAATTATAACAGCACACCACAAAGCTAAATAGGGATGTAAACATCTAAACATGAAAATCTCGGTCTCAAAAACAGAAGTTAAGAAGGTCAGCAGAAAATCAGGGAAACCCAACATCCTTATTGACAAAATACAGCTCCAACAACTGGAGGAATTTAAATATTTGGAAAGCATCTTCACACAAGATGGGTGTATGGACAAAGAATAGAAACAAGAACTATGAAGGCAAAAGCAGATACCTACCAACTAGCACACCTGCTCAGTTACAAGAACACCCCGACCGAAGTAAAATCCCAGCTCAACAATATCATCTTCATACCAATATTAACATACCAGTGCCAAACATAGTCTCTAAACAAGGCAAAAGAAAGAAGAATCAATGCATGCGAAATGAGCTGTCTCCGGAAAACCACCAATGTCACCATAAGAAATGAAACCATACGTCTACAAACTAGAATACCACCAGTAATAAAATTCATAGAGCCCCAAGGAGTCAAATGGTTTGGACGTCTAACCAGAATGCCCCAGAAACAACTTGCGGCTCGAGCTTACAACACCCGAGAATCCAGCTGCAAACCAAGAGGAAGACCAAGAAATACAAGGCTGGATAGGGTTGAAAAGGTCCTGGAACAACATAACATATCTATCACTGACGCTACACACCTAGCACAAGACCAAAACCTGCACCTCCCCTCGACATCCTAAGAATACCAGAGGAAGGGGAAAGTAAAAGTAAAGTAAGTATTGCTATGTATGGACTAGCAGTTTGTTGAGATAGTTCTTGAGGGGTTTTTTGTTTTGTTTTTTTGTTTGTTTTTGTTTGTTTGTTTGTTTGTTTTTTTGTTTTTTTGGGGGGTAAGATCTTTGCATCTGATACACTTGTGCTCTAGTCTGTCTGAAGAATGCTTACTGGGCGTGAGTGATAATATTACGTCTTTTCATATCTAATGTGTAATCAAACAAAGCTAAAGACTATTTGCCAGGGAAAAGGATAATCGGTACATGCAATATTATATTTTTGTTTGTTCCTTTTTTTTGGGTGGTCATTATTATACTTTCAAAGTGAAGCTAAAATCGTAGAACACCCCTCATAAAAAAAATCAAATCAGATCCAGTACACTTAAGAAATGCACATGTCGCATAGCAAGACCAAAATGTCACATTGAAATTGTCACGACACATAGAAAGTTCAAATGGAAATATTTTAGTGCACGATTGTGCCTAGCAAGTTTAGATGTAAAAATGACAAATCTAAATGGAACACAATAGGAAGTCAAAAGGCATCTAAGGAAAACAAATATCCTTCAAACAGATTACTCAGCGTGAGTAGCATGATGTTCTCAAACTGAGTTGACAACACAAACAACAACAATATACTTTTTCAAGGTCAAATGATCACTATGAAGAAACTCGAGGATACTCCCGGGAAAAGAAATTTTGATAGTACTGAAACAACCAGATATCAATACTAAGCATGATTGTTGCAGAACATTCAGCGGTATGAATGTGTTTTCATCCATGAGGATGGGATCAATCTATTGACTAAAAGAAACCGGGGAAGAGCAGGACGTGGTCAACGAACTGTTCGAGTGGTGCAGTGTTGAAGGGAACCAAACCCAACTATGACATCTGCCAGTGCCAAGGATGGCCTTGTCTATCACGTCTCTCAAGAAGATGGGATGACAGATTAGCATTTCAACCGATCCCTCCAAGATACTGCTCCAGTAATCCCAACAAAGAAGAATTATGCTTCGTGTGCAACAACGCTCAAGCAAACGGTCTAGCTTTACCAATTCATCAAATGTATTCGAAGTGAAATACCTGCTCCCTGCCCCCTTTTTTTTCTTTGCACACAATTTCTTAACATTCGTGACAACGTTTCTTATAGTGAAAATACCGTCTGGAACAGAGGCTTGCTGAAGCAAGAGACCAATTCACTCAGCAGACTTATCAATAGGGGTGGCAACACTAGCCCAATTGGCAGAACAAAAATCCTAAGCCGCGACTGACTGCAGTGAAGATGGCGGCAGACTTCAGAACAATACAAGCCTATATATCGCAGTGTTTTGCAGTGCAATAATAAGTGCATAAAAGTAAACTTGGACTTTCCTTTCATCAAATTAGTTCTAGACACTTTAAGTATTATATCTTACAAATTACACTTGCAATTTTTTGTTTTTGTTTCCGTTCTTTTATAGTCTTTGGTTTATAAACTTCTGCCTCATGTGGCAGTAACTGTTTCGTGGCACGTGACATCTCCTTTGTAGCTCTACACAACAAGGTTTTCATAATTTGGCTTTTACTGTGAAGGAGAATAAAAGCTCATTTACTTCTCACTTCGATTCACGAAGAATACTTTTTATTATTTTTGTTTAAGCCTCTTTCTCCAGTTCAGGTATTATTTTAGTTTCAGTAAAGTTTTACGATGCTCGCAACTGCAAAAGGTCATATGAGCACCAAAGGGTGGATGTCAACAAAGAAGTCCGTACAGGGAATCAGACTTACTCGGCTCACCTCTCTTGCTTCAACAGCACAAAGTCTGCTTCGACTATCAAGGTACCCCAGAAAAAGCGGGCCACAAGAGTGTGACAAACATACAAAAGAAGTTGAGGAAAATGACGATAGTAAGGATTAGAAAAGAAAAAGCAGCAGTTCCCTGTTGCAGTTCAGGCAGTTATGAGCATGACGTTGGTGAATCGGCCCATTTACAATTCTACTGTGCATAAGAACAAGTTAATGTCCCCCCTTTGGGAATGGCCTAAAGACACTTCAGTCAGTAGCACCGCCCCGGGGGTCAGTTCAGGTATATTTGCATTTGAGATTGCTGTGTGACATTTGAATTTGTTAATTGTTGTATTAAATATTCCAATGTTTAAGTAATATGAGCTTGCTATTGTTACATTTGGGCTTTTTATGATGCCATCTTTTTATTTGAACTTGGTAAGTGTAATTTGGTT